TAAATGGAACCATTAGAGTAACCTGCAAAACAATGAAAGATAATCTTAAAATAATGATGAATCATTAGTTTAATATCTTTCAAATTAAATAAGAGCTTTATATTTTTAAAGGGACTAAATGAAGTATTTTTTGTCAACATATATTCTCATACACATAGATTCATGCTGTTTTTAAACGCTGCAACAACTTTTAGGACTGAATCGATTTAAAAAGATTTGTTTAAAAAAAGTTTTAAAGGGACTGTAAGAGTAATTTAAAGTAATCCTCCATGCAAAGAGGGCAATGCCCGATTTACAACGGTACCCTTTAAACCTTTGACTATAGCTGTTCGTCGAGTAAAGAGATTTTCCAAAAATTTGAAAGAAAATATTTATTTATCGGTCAATTTTAGAAACTGAATATTAATACTGAAAAAAACTAAATATATATAAGTTAAACCAGCAAACTGAGTGTTCAACAATTAAACGCGTTTTTTTTAGATTAATGAGAATAATTCCGACATTATTGATAAGTCAAAGGTTTAAGGTTACCGTTGTGAATTGGACATTGCCATCTTTGTATGGAGGGTCACTTGAAATCACGCTTACAGAGATCGAGTGTTCAAGATCAGAGATTTCGATAGATTGAATAAAAAAACAGATCACTCTAACAGTATACAATACATATGAACGTGTTTGTTTTGTCATAATTTTTTTATTTAAAATAATTGTAAACTCTTTCACGAACTAGATTTCCAATTATCGTTTTTTTATACAATGACTGAACACGAAAATTAAAGGTTAATTCTCTTAAAGTAATCTTAGGAAGGGAGGGAGGGGGAGGTTATTGGANGAGAAGTTTTTTTATGTTATGGGTTATTAAAGAATAAACAACGGCTTGCCTTTCGATCGTCGTGCAAAAAATCCATTAGAGAAATTGTTTAATTTTTTCCCCTTGTTTTTTTCAAGTTTTCAAGTTTGGGGTACGTGTTACACAATCATTGATTTTTAGAATAAACTGTGCGTATGTGTAAAATGTATAATAATCATGTTTCCACCAATCATAAAAAATAAATTTTGCAAACACATAGTATTTTGCAAACATGCGTTCAAAAAGGAAACACACTGCAGAAATCAAATCACGAACAAATTAGTAAAAAGATAAGATTAAATTGAATTCTTAAAGGAAAAAGGTAAAAGTATTCCTCCCATCTATATGTTATAT